ACGTGGATCAGTGGTGAATCTGAGTCAGTGGGTTAGTGATTTAGAATCATAGAACCATCCAGGTTGGAGGAGACCTCTAAGAGCATCAAGCCCAACCATGAACCTGTCACTGCTGTAACCCCCAAACCCTAAACCATATCCTCCAGCACCAGATCCAGACACCTCTGAAACACCTCCAGGGATGGTGACTCCACCACCTCCCTGGGCAATATCCCAGGGCCTCAACACCACAACAGGGAAAACATTTCTCCTCACATCCAATCTGACTCTGTCCTGGCTCAGCACAAGGCCATTCCCTCTATCCTCTCCCTGCAGCCCTGGCAGGACACACATCCCACACCTCTCTCCAGCCCTGGCAGGAGTTGCAGAGAGCCAGGAGGTCACCCCTGAGCCTCTTCTCCAGGCTAACCCAACTTAATGAACCACAGCCAAACCCTGAGCACCTCTTGCAGTTACACCACACCAGTTTGGCTGCTGGAAGATCTCCCTACTCCAGCTGAGGTCCAACCAGAGCAATGAAGGTATTGCAATAAACCATGCATTAAACCAAACATTAGTTTAATGATCTTTCCCCAAATACCCAAAGGCACTAGTCAACACTGTGGACTAATAACCTACAAATTGGTGTGATTTGTACACATTTTTAGCATTACAGTGGGTTTTTTGACACCTCTGGATGGCACATTGAGGGAAATGTTTCATCTGCAGCAGCTTCATCCTGAATAACTTCCCTTGATTTAGTTAAACACAAGAGGCATCAAACCAAAAACGGTGCTGACCTGCCAAACTCTCTGTGTTGTCCTTTCTACAGGGATTTCTGCAACTCATATGGAATCCACCCCAGCTTAACTCCAGATTTATACCACTGTAACTCCTGTAATTGCCTCAAATTACCTCACAGATCCACAGGCTCCAGGTACCACCACAGAAATGTGACAGCTCAACACAACACCTCAACTGAGGACAGCAAATTTCTTTCATCCATTGCAAAACCCTTTGTAAGGTGTCAAGTAAAAAGCTCACAAAATACATTTGAAAGGAACTACCATAAAGAATAAGCTTCAAATAGACCTTTTACAACATAACACAAAATTCAAATGACATTGTTTTCAGGAAAGCACTTGAAACTGTAACACTTAGGCCCTGACAACAGTAGATTAAGCTGTAAACCTCAAGAAGTTTTGATGTGATTCGAAATCAAATCAGCATTACAATTCCCAGGTATAATAATCATCGAACAGATTGTAACAACAAGATATAATCCTAATGCAAATGTGAAGCTCAGAGATTGGTGCTAAGAAAACTCTCTCAGCTCTTTGTAGATTTAGACCTGCACATGGTAAAATCAGTAACAACTGAAGAGGTTCCAATATTTCATCTCATTCACTGGTATCAATGTTTTGCAAGCAACTTCTTTTTTACAGAATCGTTATGAGCTTGAAAAACAATGCTCCAGGTCAAATGCTGCTGCCAGGAATCAATAGAATATCTGGACGGAGATATTGAAGACCATCAGGTTTTGTTGCCCATGTAAGAGTAGAAACATCAGATCTTATACATGGAAAGGTAAATAAATGACATCTCTAGAACCACAGAATGGCCTAGGTTGGAAGGGACCTTAAAGACCATCTCATTCCAAACCCCCCTAGATACTTATATATTCAAACCCATACACCTCCCTCCAACTTCAACCCTGAACTACCTCTAGGTAAGAAATACAAGACCTTTTGTCAATAATTTCAAGGGTTTAGTTACACCTGAGACACTTTTGCATATTGATTTCATTGTACCTTTACCTCTAGGTACTCACCTAAGTCCCTTACTCTTTCTGGGGTACAAAGGCCATTGAAGTTAGGTGGATTCTTCCCAACTCCTTGGCCTCTGGCTGAGCCCTTCCTTACCTCACTGGATGTGTAGAGATGTGACAGAATTCAATGTGCCTACTGAAATGAGCAGTTGCTGTACAAGCAGAGACATTGGTTTACACAACTCCAGGGTGAATTCACCATCCTGAGGCTTTGCACAACATCTGATTGAAAGAGAACTGCAGTTCTTTACCCAGGGCAACGTGTATTTCTACCTGTTGGTTAAAAGAGCAACTTTTGGAAGTATTTCTCTGGGTAATGGATCACTGGTCATACAGGACATGTTGGAAATGCTCCTTCCTTCCTGACCTGATCTTCTGGAGAAGATCAACTCATTTCTCCACCCAGCAAGCAAGGAAAGGAGTGGAGGAGTAATGAGTTGGTGTGGCTACATTACATTAAGGCCAGTGTAGATGGACTGAGGTTTTCCAACCAATTCCTGGGGTCTAGGAGCTCTGTTCCTCCTGAAACTTAAGGCATTTACATGCCTGACTCCTGCAGATTGCCCAGCCCAGCTCTTGGCTCCTCATCCCTGCAGATCCCACGAGCCTTGGAGCACAAGGCTTAGCAGGGACACAACCTGTGTAAGGCTCTGACAGAATTTCACAGTGCTACTTCATTTGGCAAACACCAAACAGAATGTAAAGGTTCCCTTTGTCACCCAAACATTTCAGTGAAACAGGAAGTAAAATGAATCCACCAAGTTTCACTCCATTTTGTTTCTGCCAGGGGAATTCCCTAGAAGTTCTTCCATGCATTATGGTGTTAGATCTGATCACAGAGCAATGAGAGTTGATTTCCTTGAATGTTCTTTAACTAATGGAAAGAGACGAGTGGAAATGAACTTGGTGTGTGCTTGGATATACCTGGAAAACCAGCAAAACTATATCCAAATCAGCAAAACTAACAGTACTAGATCCATGAGAGACATCTCAAACTAAATCAGCTTCATGAGCAAACCCTTGATGTGCAGAAACATTGGGAGTTTTGCACTATAATTTACAGAGAAGAGTTGACTTTAGTGAGGATGTTCAGCAAAGTTGTCTTTGAACAGTTCTTTGTCCCGCCTGGAGTATAAGAGGGAGAAGTGAAGCTACATTTCACTGGCAAAAGGACTTCACAGACCTTAGAGACTTCAGAAATGGTTGATTTCAACCAGAGCATTTATGTACCATGTTTCTGTGTGAAATGAATCAAACAAGAGGAATAAATTTCCAAGACCTGACAACACCTGTTGGAATTGTCTTTGAACAGTTCTTTGTCCCGCCTGGAGTATAAGAGGGAGAAGTGAAGCTACATTTCACTGGCAAAAGGACTTCACAGACCTTAGAGACTTCAGAAATGGTTGATTTCAACCAGAGCATTTATGTACCATGTTTCTGTGTGAAATGAATCAAACAAGAGGAATAAATTTCCAAGACCTGACAACACCTGTTGGAAAGAGAGGCAGTCAAGTCAATGCCTTTCGGCAGGAGGAGGGTGAGGATGTACAGTGATGCATCTGCAAGGAACTTGCAGCAGGACACAGCAACATGTTAAGCATCAACAGAAGAAACTCTACAGCTTTGATTTCCAGTTGAATGTTCCAACTTTACACCCACACCATTCTAAATCTCCTTTCCATGCTATTCCTTGTCCCATATTCCTTTCCCTATATTCATTTTGGTGACACCACTTCAGATCCATCTGTCCCAAACCTGCTCATCCTGGAGCAAACACTGCACACCTCTCCCACCTTCACTGCTACAAACACTTTGCAACTCATTGGTGGTTTGTTTCCCTTTCCATAATTCAGGACTCCTCTAGTACCATATCCAACACCATTCCAACCCTCATGGAGCTTTAGTGACACTACCTTAGATCCACCTGTCCCAAACCTGCTCATCCTGGAGCAAACACTACACACCTCTCCCACCTTCACTGCTACAAACCCTTTGCAACCCATTGGTGATGTGTTTCCCTTTCCTAATTCAGGAGCCCTCTGGCACCACTTCCAACCTTCATGGAGCAACTGGCACAGGGAGGCACTTATGTGACACGTTTAAAACTTCTCTTTGGTAAACACTTAGACACACACACACAAGAACTTGTAGCCAATGTTTTGCTTCGTGATGGTAAATCCTCACTTGCTACTCATGTCTGTGTGGAGGGATCTGAACATAGACAGGATGTTGCTAGTATAAAATCAGTTTTTCAAATGCCACTGCCAAGGATTTGTTTGAATTCACCTAAAAATAAAGCAGTCCTGGGCTTTTGGATGTTTTCCTGACTCTCTGTTGCTCTGATCAACAACAAATTAGCAAGGCAAAGTGAGCCCTTAAGTACTCGATTTTCACTTCCTTTCTCATTCCACTGCCTTGGTTTTCAAGACCAATTGAACCAGTTGTATCTCTTACAACTTTCATCAGCTCTGAGGCAGATCCTGGGGCCTGACATAGTGTGTCATTCCTTGGCATTGCATTAAGACATTGCATGACCTAAGCAGCCAAATCTTTCACTTGGATCAGTGGAAGTTTTGGCTACACTACAAGCTGAGGCAGCTCTTGGTAGGGATGTTTCCCCCTTTCACCAGTGCTAACCCTGGTGAGGAGAGAGACCTCATGGCTCTGGCTGGACCTGAGGAAGGATCAAACCAGAGTTCACACCACCAAAAGATGACCCATCGATGTGTATTTTCCAAGGAGCTTCAAAGAAATATTGCTGGAACTGTATAGGAATAACTGAGGGATGATCTGTGCTGTACCCAGAGCACTCTCACTGCTGACATCAGGCATTTCTACACAGAGGTATTTCATTAGCTCTATTTTTCCTTTACACTGCTTCAATTTGCTTAAGGATTTTTTTTCCCCTACAACCCAGAACTTAGTGCATTTCATTTTATAAAACTAGAATCATTTATATCCTTCTCTTTTCCTTGGAAAACAAAACCACTCCCCAAACACACAGAAAGGTAGAAACACCTCACAAATGACAAATGCTTCACTGGTTTTACAATCTGCTTAGTGACTTAGGCATTGATCGACCAAACAACTTTGGCAACTCACACAAAAATCTGTCCTGAACTGAAAAGTGCTGATAAAACTTGCTTTAATGAGGCCTTTATTTAGGAGAGAACTGCAAAGTGTCACTGTGTCCCTAAACCATGCTGCTCTGCACCTGTATGTGAAATGGGTAGGGCTGGTAGAACACAGGAGGCTGTCCATGAGGAATGTAGTAATTGCTGAAGTTCCTGTCACTGATATATGGAGCAGGCTGATAGTAGCAAGTCACGTTGGCTGCGTTTGGGATGATATTTTGTTCTCCAAGTACTTTTAAAGCCAGAATTGTGATCATGTTCAGAGTCTGTCGTCGTTCATGTCCCATGAGGCAAACTGTGCTCTTGTTTACGACTCCACGCAGGGTCATCAAGTAGTCATACTTGCTCTTCTCCTCCCCAATGAAGTGGTTGCGCAGGTAGGACTCAATTTTCCTCTGCTGCTCAGCAACATCTGGAAAATCAATGAAGAACCTGGAGCACATGTAACGTTCCAGAGATTTAATCTCAGCCTCGTCTGCCGGCTTAAAGTCCCGAACCAGGAGGTTGCTGTACTTGAGGAGACCACCTCCCCTGATCTCCTCGGGGTTCCTGGTGGAGATCAGTTTGTATTTCAAGTGGTCCATCGCTTGGTTGAAGTCTCCATACATGCTCTCGGCGATGACGGTGGGATGAGAGTCTTGGGTCAGCTGGAAGTCTGTCTCCCTGTAGACATCCAGGATGGAGTCCAGGATGATCTGGAAGGAGTCCACACTGAACTCAAACTGCCTCCGGAGAGAGTTGACGAACTTCAACTCCACGTTCTTGCCGCTGTTGTTTGAGAGTGAGATGAGACTCCAGCGGTCGTGGTCGGTGGAGACTTTGACCATCTTCTGCACATAAGCATCTTTCATGGTCTGAGCAGTGATTTTTTGCTTGTTAACACATTTTGGCAAGAAGTCCAAGAGGCAATTAAGAACTGCTTCCTTGACAACCTGGAACTCCAGCTCACTTGGAAGCTCCACTCCAAAAATGATGTCTAGGTCCTTGTAACTGGTTCCATTCTGCTTCACCAGGATGTGACTGGCTGTGGACCCGTTCAGGCGGATGTCTCGGACGTGGATCTGCTTCTCAATGAGCTGTTCCCTCACCAGATGAATGATATCCTTGGGCTTTACATCCAAGGTTGGGAAATTTCCTCTGCCATGAATAGGAATAGCCTCAGCTAAAACTTGATCCAGGATTTGAATCTGATCCCAGGTGAGACAACTGAATCTGTGGTCTAAGTCCTCAGTCATCGTGATGTTAGTTGGCTAAAGAGGGAGAAAGGGAAATCAGAGACAAATGTTAGAACTTCCTGAGATACCAGAGAGTCAGATATTTCTCTTGGTTATACTGCACACCTCACTTAGTTATACCACACTTCTCTCTTCCTTCCTCAGTGCAGGGACAAAGTGGTTCATTTTCCAGAGGCACAATCCCAGTTAACAGCCTGAGTCAACCACTGCACTTGTCACAGGCTCTTAATTGAATTTTAATGGACTTGGGTTTTAATCCTGCTGCTATTGTATAAGCCATGACTCAAAGCAAATGCAGGAAACCATATAGACTTCATTTAAAACTACTCAGAGGTTAATAACGTGAACTACTTGGGGGCGATAATGAAACTCCAAATAAATTTCACTGTGAAGAGTTAAAATGGGCAAAAATGAGCAAATTTGTTCTTTCTGTCCTGCCTAGACAATCTTCAGTGACTTGAATGCTTACAACTACTAAACAACCAGGAAGTTTTTTTGTTAAAACCAGGAATGATGCAACATGTTCACTGTTTATCCAACCATAAGCCTTGGATGAACTTTGGTCTCTATGGATCATCTATACACACACATACCATAATACCACTTGTGGGTTTAGAACTGGATATCTGATAAGTTTTAGGCTGTTTTCACTGTGTTTTGAAAGCAAAATAATTCCCTTCTAAGCCATTAACCATGTTCCTACTTTCATGTACCAATGCTGCAAGTCATGGTTTGCAGAATCAGTAGGAAAATCCTTCCCAGTCTTCTGGAGAAACAATTTCTCAACTAAGCCTATAAGAATCATAGAATGATAGAATCAATCAGGTTGGAAAAGACCTCCAAGATCATCAAGTCCAACCCTACCGTGGTCACTAGACCATGGCACTAAGTGCCACATCCAGTCTCAGCTTGAAAACCTCCAGGGATGGTGAATCCACCACCTCCCTGGGCAGCACATTCCAATGCCTGATCACTTGCTCCCTAAAAAATCTCTTCCTAATAGCCGACCTAACCCTCCCCTGGCAGAGCTTGAGTCTGTGCCCTCTTGTCCTGCTGCTGGTTGCCTGGGAGAAGAGACCAACCCCCACCTGACTCCAACCTCCTGTCAGGGAGTTGCAGAGGGTGAGAAGGTCTCCCCTGAGCCTCCTCTTCTCCAGGCTGAACACCCCCAGCTCCCTCAGCCTCTCCTCATGGCACTGGTGCTCCAGTCCCTTCACCAGCCTCGTGGCTCTTCTCTGGACCTGCTCCAGCCCCTCAATGTCCCTCCTGAGCTGAGGGGCCCAGAGCTGAGCACAGGATTCAAGGTGTGGCCTCACCAGTGCAGAGCACAGGGACAGAATCACCTCCCTGGTCCTGCTGACCACGCTGGACCTGATCCAGGCCAAGAAGCAACTATAGAATACACAGGATAAAGCTCAGACTCTGAAATTCCTCAGTTTCAACTTTTATCTTGTCTTCACAGCATCACATTTAGCAATGCGATGTGACACTCAAGTGGTTTCAGGTGTGATCTCAACGGGCTCAGTGAGTCACCAGACAGGTGGAAGAGCTGTTGGGTATCTGCCAACACTACAAAGCTACTGCTGAGACCCCAACAAGTGTCTGTGCAGGCAGATGGCTCAAACAGGTGTTTTTTCAGCCAAAGCTCAAGAATAAAAACAGATTAAAATCATTATAACCCTACTGAAAAGTCTACACTGTTGTTGCTTAATCAGTAGTGACTACACATGCACATTGTCATCTATTTTCATCCCTTCGCCTTCACATTCCACATCCTGGAATATTTTAGCAATTTCAAGCGACTTGCAAACTGACAAATGGCTTGGGAATGTGTCAGAGCTATATTTCACATGCTTCTGCTACAGTTTCAGCTCCCAGCTGAGCTGAACAGGACCATATGTGATTCTAAGCACCTCTCTGGGCTCGGTACAGAGAATGGAACCAACCAGATGTTTGAAGTGGAATAAATGGTTTAAAAGTTGGCTAAAGCAAGATTTAAGTTGGGAGTTTAATTGACAGCGTGAAGGACTTTTAGAATCATAGAAATGTAGGGGTTGGAATGGAGCTTAGGGATCACCCAGCCCCAACCCCTGCCCTGGGCAGGGACACCTCCCACCAGAGCAGGTTGCTCAAGGCTCAGCCAACCTGGCTGTGAACACTGCCAGGGTTGGGGCAGCCACAGCCTCCCTGGGCAACCTGGGACAGTGTCTCACCACCCTCACAGGGAAAACTTCTGCCTAAGATCTAGCCTAAATTTCCCTCCTTCCAATAGCACTGACAATTTCACATGCTGATGACTTTTCCATTCAATAGTTATTATGATTCCATGCATATTCCTTTTGAAAGGAATAAAACTATTACTTGAAAAGCTTCTATCCATCCCTCAGAACCTTTAGGACATCTCAGCAGAGCTTTATCCTAAAACCAGCTGTACAGAAAGCCATTGTGGATTCTGGAAGTAGGACAAGCCTGGGTGGAGTGACAAGTTTGGGCTGAGAGGTCTTTGTATGAACTTTTTTTCTGCCACGTTGTCATCAATGTCATTCATAGAACCATTGAACTGATAATGTTGGAAAGACCTCCAAGATCATCAAGTCCAACCTTTGATTCATCAGAATATGGTGGAGCAGCTCCAATCATCCTGTAGCAAACTCATAGTGGTCAGAGCTGTTGTCTAAGCAGCAGATTTGTCAGGGGATCTGTCTGATATTGCAAGATTTGAACTTTAATGCTGAGATATAAATGGAATGGGATAGAGAAGACAATGTTGAAATTCAATCTTTTTTTTACCCTCTTCAAACACTGCTGCAAAGTCAGAAGATGGATGTAGCCCTAAATCAGCTTAGAAATCCTTCCTTTATTGCTACATGGTTTATTCATTTCAGATGTTATTGCAGGGCTGAGATTTGAACCTGACAGGGAAAGGGAATGGCAGCAAATCTCTTTGTGTTGGAGAGACAAACCCAAAATGTCATTTCTCTAAAGTGACACCTGCAGGATCTGAGGAGGATCTGGTAGTTCAGAGCCTCAACACTAATGTCTGAGAAATGTCTTACGATAAATGCTAACAACTCTGTGCTGAAACAACACCTTCAGCTTTGACAAGTGAGGAAAATATCCTAGGAAAAACAGGAAGTAGGTTGACAAAATATAATAAACTTGCAGATAAACCTAAATAAACTTCTCTCTTCTTCTTCATCTTCTTTTCTTCTTCTCCTCCTCCTCCTTCTTCTTTTTCTTCTTTCTCTTCTTCTTCCCCCTCCTCTTCTTCTTCTAATTCTCCTCCTTCTTCTTTTTCTTGTTCCTCTTCTTCTTCCTCCTCTTCTTCTTTCTCTTCTTCTTCTTTTTCTTCTTCTTCTTCTCCTTCTCAATCTTGTTGTTGCTGTTCTTCTTCTTCTTCTTAACTCTTCTTCTTCCAGTTTTCAACCCAGTACATAGCCCTTCACTTTCCTAGAAGGATTTTCTCTCATTCTCTTCCTTAATCTTATCTGGCAACAGTAGAAGAAACTGGTTCTTCAGTAGAAGACCAGTTTCCAGGCAATCTGACAGTCATTAGGAACCTGATTTCTCAAAGCAGTGGCAAATTCATTTGCTGCTGTGCTCAGACTAGTCTCAGGAGTTATTACTAATGGAGGTAACCTCAGTTACAACACAGCAGCAGCAGCACTGAGGCTGTAATTAGTCAGTGTTGTGTAAAATGAGAGAGATCACGGGAGGAAGGGAAGGAAACTCTGCACGTGACCACAGCACCTGGACAAATCATAGAACCAACCACAGAATAGGATGGATAAGACCTAGTCAAGTTTTGTGACATATTAACCTTATTATCAGGCTAGAAAAGTATCTCCCTGGTTCACCTTCCAACTTAACCTTGACTGATCACCTTCAGCTGATGAAGTGGTTGCAAGGTAGAAAAAATGTGGAGTTAGTGTGAAATCATTAGATGTAGCTGTTAAACTGTATTAGCTATTGAAATTAGAGGCTCTAATTTTCTCTTTGGACCAAAACAACTCTGAGTTTGGGCTTATAATGATGCCACAATGCTGTGCTAACCACCTCTTAGCACTCTGCCAGCACCAACTTCACCAAAAGACGTCAAAGCAGATCTGGTTTTCCATCAGAATGAAGAAAATCTGCCACACTAATGACAGATTTCTTGTTCTCTACAACTTTCACAGACACAGATACTTCCAGTCTAGAGAACAGTCTCATCCAATTTAGCTCAGATTTTACTTATCAACTGTTTAGATTCTCTTTTTATGTACTCCCTAATGTTGCTTCAGTGTGTTTGCAAAGGCTCTGCCATGTGTTGGCATTCTCCAGCAGATTACAGCTGAAACAGGGTTTGTGCAGCTGTGGGAGCTTCATCCTCTTCCCTGTGCTTTTATCTGCTTCCCTTTTGCTGGCTTACAGCAAAGATTGGGAATACTCCGAGGCTTCAATTCCTTTACTTTGTTTGCACTTGAAATTGGTTTCACAGGGACCTTTTCATAGGATCATAGAACCATCCAGGTTGGAGGAGACCTTAAGATCATCAAGTCCAACCATGAACCTGTCACTGCTGGAACCCCTAAACCCTAAACCAGATCCACCAGAGCCACATCCAGACACTTCTTTTCCTCCATACACATTATATACATCACTAACAACTCCCCTGATCTCTTGCTGAAGCTTTATTTCAATTAGAACCACATTTCTCCATGAATCCAGGCATTTGGAAGTCCTTTCCATGCTCACTGACTTCAGGCCTGCATCTGGCAGAAGCTCCACAACAAGAATGTCCAATGTGGACGGAGCTCCAGTCATAATTTAACTGCATATGAGACAGGGAGAAGCAGTAAAGCATCTGGAGGAGCTAAATGGGGACATATTTAAACTGCTTTGACAGGGTTTTTCAGGAGTTTTTCCTTCCATTACTGTTAATGCATGTGCTGGAGACAGTGTTTATTTATCCTGTTATCATCAGATAAAGCATGAGCTGCTGCAAGTTTTCAGTACTG